AAAAAAAAAAAAAAAAAAAAAAAAAAAAAAAAAAAAAAAGATCTCCAGGTGATGTGTCTGCACGTTAAAGGGAGAGAAGCACAGAAGTACCTACCTCACCGGGTTTCTGTGAGGATTCAAGGAGAGGGTGCTTCACCCAGTGAAGCACTTGGTAAGAGCTCACTAAACGCCAGCTGCCGCCACCATCACCACCACCATCACCATGCGGCGAGTCACGGCTTCTACCCTACGTGTTCCCGCACTGCCTCCCCAGGGGGTAACAAACCAGGAGTTTCGATGACTCTGGCAGAGCTCATGAAGCCTCCTGCTGGAGTTCTCCCGCAGGTGGAGAGTTAAAGCCCCAGGAGTGCCCCGCCCAGCCCAGCCCCCAAATAGCAGAAGAGGTTCCCCCGACCCTGGCCTCCCTCCACCCTCACCCCAGACCCTGGGAGTGGGTAGAGAGGGTGACTAAAGCCGGAGAGGCTGAGTAATCCTGGGACACCAACCAGGGATTGAGAAACAGACAGGAAATATTTTCAAAGAACAGCACCAGAGGGGGAGGGGCAAAAGAGAAAGCCGAGGAGCGATGAGCCCCGGCCTTTCCGCCTCCTCACTCTAGCGCTCAGGTTTCCACAGCCTCCATTTCAAGCCCCAAATCTCCGCCGTCCGAGGGCCTTCAGGGGGCGGGGAAGTAGGTTGGGTGGGAGGGAGCAGCGCCCACTTCCTCCTCTCCTTCCTCCGGCTGCGCCCCTCCCCCAGCCCTTTCATTGCACGGACGTTTCCTCCGTTTTCCCTAATTAACTCCAGGAGGGAGCGAGTCCTCAACCGCGCTGCTCCCTCCCCTCCCCACCCCCCGGAATGGAAGCAATGGGGGAGGGGGCCCAGATCCAGCTTCAAGAGCCAGGGTTCCAGAGTGATTTAGGGGTCAAGAGGGGAGACTGTCAGAGGCGCCAGAGAGAGAGACAGAGAGAGGGAGAGAGAAAGGGGAAGAAATGGGGAGAAACAGGGAGAAGGGAGGCAGAATGAGAAAGCTAGGAAATAGGCTTGACTGGGTAACTGGAAGCCAGGCCCACCCACATCCTACATGCACCCACGATCTCTAAGGAGCACCCTAAGGGGCACCCGAGCAGATGAAATGACAAAGCGAGCCCCGCCACCTCCTCCCCAGAAGCCCAGACCTGATGTTAGCCTGGGCCCTACGGGATGCAGTGAAGCTGGGCTGGACCGGGAGGGAGGAAGATGGGGAAACCCAGAGTGTAACAGAAACGGGCTGCCCTTGAGTTCCGTCCGGTCAGCTCTGCCGCGAAGGAGCCAGCCGTGTGACCCTGACCGAGGCCCTGCCTGACCCCGACCTCAGTTGGATTGAAGGCTCTGACCTTCTGTGGAATCAAGTCTCCAATGAACCGCCCCCTCCCGCCCCGCCCCGGCTTCTAACCCTGCAAGACCTACACTGGGCAGGAACCAGGATCTTCCTTGAGTCCAAGGAGAAACAGATTTTGAAGAGCAGCAAGAAAGAACCTGGGCATCCTCTGGCCTGGAGGAGGTGAGAGCGCTGCCAGCCTCTCTCCTCAGGGAAGCACCTCCCAGCCCCATCCTCCCCGCTCCTCCCGCCCTGCCCTCTCCACCCCGGGGCTGAGGGCAGCAACTCCAAGCAGTCCAGGAGGCCTGGTGAGACTCAGCCAGGGCCAGCTGAGCCACAGGCTGCAGCCTCCTTGAGAGCACACCTCCCCCTCAAAGGTTTATTTAAAAAGCCTCCCAAGTATACTTGCTCTCCCGCCTGCTTACTCCTCCTCAGCAGCCCCACAGGCCTGGCTGGGCTGGACTCCAGGAACCTCTCTGGCTCCAGGGCCAGGATGGGGGTGTGAAAGTGAGAGTAGGGCCTGACCCTGCCACCTCCACCCCCAAGGTCCATCCCCCCAGCTGACACCCGGCTCAGGCCCTGTGTGGGCCAGAGGGGTGGAGCCCTGACAGGGGAGCCAGACTGCGGTGACCCAGGGACCTTCTGGGAGGGTCTGGGGCTATAAATACTGACTCCACTTCTGTTTTTAAAATCTGGATTTAGGCTAGAAAGTCTGCTTCCTGGCCTTAGGGCTCAAAGCCACAACAGCTAAAATATACCTTACTGTCTGTTTACTTCCCTCAAGAACCCAACTTGGCATCTCCTCAGACCCAGCTAACTGCCTCTTTCCTACTCAGTATCTGGCCTCTCTAGAGCTACAGCCGCTCTCCCACTCCCACTCCCACGCCGAACCGGGGGTCAGCTCTGTCCCAGAAGGCTGCCCCCTGCTTCTCCCTTCCTCTTCACCACCCATGGCCTCGCCCCACTGGGCCTCACAGACATCCGGGGAAGGCTTGCCAGATTTAACAAATAAAAATAAAGGGTGCCCAGTTAAATCTGAATTTCATATAATTTCTTTTTTAGTATAGTATGTCCCAGTCCTAACATCTGGAACCCACTTATGCTAAAATATGACTTGTTGTTTATCTGAAGTTACAAATAACGGGTCATCCTGTATTTTATCTAGAACCCTAATTGGGGAGAATAACGCAGCATTAAGAGAAGTTCGGCCTCTAAACTTATTCAGCAAAAAGGGAAACTGAGGCTGAATGGAAAGGCAGACACTGTCGCTGGTATACAAAGGGCATGAACTTAGGAGTCAGGCTGGCTAAGAACTGCCAGTCTGCAGCTCAAAATGGGGGCCTTGGAGCAAGCGACTTCTTGGTTCCCTCATCTGTCAAATGGAAGGAATTAGACCTGCCTTGCAGAGCTGGTGAGAGGATCCACTGACATGTGGCCCGTCAGGTTTGCCTAGCATCAAGTTTGGGGCAGCACACAGGCACAACTATAGTGATTACAGTTCTGACTTTGCCTGGTTCTCTACCCACCAGGCCTCCAGACATGCTGGACAGCCGGGCTCTCGGTTCACTATGTAAGGCCACTGCCGGCTTCCATATATAAGCCCAGGACTGGCTTCTCCAGAAGCTAGTCCTTATTAGCAGGCGTTATTCTAATTCTACCTTCTATCCCACCATGGGTCAAAAAAGATAATCGTTAATCAATTTTCACCATTGCATATCATGCCCTTCCTCTCTGCCAATCCTATGCTGAGGCCTTACATTCTGCCCTCACGACACCACAGTGAGATCTGTTATTATCGTCCGGATTTTGTAGTCAGTGAAACTGCGGCCCAGAGGGGCTTAGTCACTTGCCTGATGACTCACAGCTTAGCGGTGGCACCAGGATTTGAATCCAGGCTGGCCTGCCTCCAAAGCCTGTGCTCTTAAGTACTAATGATATTCCTCCCCGCTCCGTCCCCACCGGCTCAGGACTCTTCTTACTTTTCAGGGATGAAAAGCATCACCTGAATCTCTATTGTTGAAGTTCTTTGTTAGCCTTGTGGGAAAAGCAGAATCCTGCTCTGCAAGTGGGGGCAACCAAAAAAGAGAGTGTGTGCTCTGGACACTCATGTCCAGAGTGTGTGCTCCCTGCTGGGAGTATCCACACCCACTTCCATGGACTGAGGGCATGTATGTGCCAGGCCCAGTACTATGTGCTTTACGGTATCATCTCACTGAATCCTTACAACAATCCTTTGAGGTCGCTGTCCCCATTTTCTTCGCTGAGGAAACTGAGGTTTAGAGAGATTAAGCAAACTGATCAAAGTCACAAAGGTAGTTAGCGGCAGAGCTAGGACCTGACCTACAGTTGTCCCTTCCAAGGCTAGAATTTTAACCACTACTCCCTACTTCTCCTGCAAGGATCTTTCCCTGTTCATTCCCCTCTGGGCATCCCAGGACCTCCC